ATTTATAATTACTGTTCTTCTGTTCTTCCTGTTCTTCATATATAATATCCTGTTCTTCAAGAGGCCTGTAAGAACACGTGAGAGGAGCCTGCTGGATGAGACCAGTGAGGGTCCATCTAGTCCAGAATCCTGTCTCACACAGTGACCGACCAGTTGCTCTGGAGGGCCAACCACAGGGCACAGAGGCCGAGGCCTTCCCCTACTCCTGCCCCCTGGCCCTCTGGTATCCAGAGGTTTGCTGCCGCCTCTAGATAGGAAGGCTCCCTTCAGTCATCATTAAGGATGGGCCTGAACTAGAAAAAATGCAGTTTGGTTCATGACGTGCCATGTTTGCCAACCATCGACCGTCACGAATTTTTGGCCACCTCACGAACTGTTTTAGTTTATGAGGTTCATGTAGCGGTAGAATGGACCCCCAACCCCCACCCCGGCATGCTAGAGACACTAAACTTGTGCTGACTCTTCTCTACCTGTTCTCCAAGTTGGGTGAGGATTGGATTTATGGGGTCTGATTAACGCCCCCCCAAAGAGGGCGCCCCCAGGAAAGGGCTTTCTGGGGAAATGTCATTTCCACATACCCTCCAAGTTTTGATCAAGTGGAGACGGTCTGTCTGGGAATGTCTCTGCTCACGAACCAGACAAACCTCCAAAAACAGCTTGACAGTTCTTGGAGAGTTTGTGCCAGGTAGCCTGCCACGCGCTTGACTTTATGAAGCAAGAACCAGCCAAAATCCATTGTGAACTTTAGTTTGTGATCCGGTTCATGCCCCTCCCTAGTCACCATGGCTAGCGCCCATTGATGGACTGCTACTCCGTGATCCTGTCTAACCCCTTTTAAAAACTATCTGTCCTCATGGCCATCAGTGTCTATTTTTTGCTTATTGTTTCTAGACAACGTTACACGTGCAGTTCCGTCCATTTAAGTGGATTTGGTCCAAAACGAGTAGATGTTAACCTGGGCGAAGTCCAAGAGGGCCGCGTGGGGTTCTCCCCTGCCTGCACCTGTGCTTCTGAGCACGTCCCAGCAGGACTGCTCCCTCCTGTGCCACCAGACCTGCCACTCCCCAAATTCAGGGACTTTTAGAAGTGGCCTCCAGTGCAGCAGAGGAGGTTACAGGGGAAGGGGGAAGCCGTGGTGTGTACTTAGGGATGCCAACTGGCCTGGAGAAGAAAGCATGACCAGTCCTTTTAAGAGAGGCTTAATACTGTCCTCCATGCCATGAAAAGCTTCAGCTGCCCTTTCCCACACACACATCAAACTTCTATTAAAGGGAAAGGGCATTTTTCTCCAGTACTGTTGGCAACCCCAAGTGTGGACTTCGAGCTGCTTGAATATACCTGTAGGGATGCTTTACATCCTGGCCAAACCAGAAACCTAACTACATGTTACAATGTTTGGTGGTACTACTCATGTCTGACATGTCATGTCAAGCAGATGCCCCGGGAATTCTCTGTTGGAACTTGGGGTGTGACCCCACACAAGCTGTTTGGCCCGACACGGCCACCCCTCCCCTCTGGATCGAACGGGCGCAGGTCACACAGCCACGTCGGTCAGGCGTTCCCCCGCCATACTCACCCCGTGAAAGGATGGCTTGGACCACATCACAAGTGGTGTTTTGGGTCCCCTGTACACTAATTGTGCATGGCCAGACGTCTGAGTGCAGAGAGTAACACGCAGGACAGATGGGTGGTCTGAACCTGCCGATCTGTTTCCACCAGTGGGGTCTGTTTTTGAGTTTTTGCCTATATGTGTGTGAGTGCGTATGCATTTTTTAAAAACGACCGGGCAGCGTGCTCCATGGCTCAGGCGCTGTAGTAATGACCAGACCCCGGGGCAACAGTTTCATCGAACGGCGGAGACGGCAAGGGGGGTGGTCCCAAAGGCTCCCGAGGACCCGAACCCCTCCCTCAGCGTCCACGGAGATACAGGGAGAGCCCGGGAAAGGGACGGGAGGAACGGTCTGGGTTGGACCGCGTTCCTCAGCTGCTGAATGGGGGGGGGAGCCCGGTTGAAGGGAAGAGACAGTTGGAGGGTCTCGACCTTACCTCTAAGAGCTGCAGATGACGAGAAAGCGAGAGTAGGTCTCGTCATCCCGACCGGAAGTAGGCACTCCCTTACAAGCCCCGTTCCAGGCTAGAAACGCTGAGTATACCAGGGGCGGGACCACAGAGGGGGAAGCACCACGGGATAGGAGACCAAGGTGATAGGCAGGTGGAATAGCCTATAGGTTTAGGAAGCACAGAAAGTCCATCCTAAAAGAAATCAACCCTGACTGTTCCCTGGAAGGCCAGATAATGAAACTGAAGCTCAAATACTTTGGCCACCCAATGAGAAGGGAGCACTCACTGGAGAAGAAGACCCTGATGCTGGGAAAGATTGAAGGTCAAAGAAGACGGGGACGGCAAAGGATGAGATGGTTAGTCAGTGTCATAGATGCAACGAACATGAAATTGAGCAAACTTCAGAGGACGGCGGAAGACCGGAAGGCCTGGCGGGACCTGGTCCATGGGGTCGCGAAGAGTCAGACTCGACTGCGACTGAACAACAACAAACACACTTTAATTCCCCCAGTGTGGCAAACAGTGGCTCCATGGGGCTTTTTGAATGAAGTGGGAGGGATGGTGTGAGAGGAAGAGGGTTAAATGCCCTCTCCCTGCACACCATGATCTTGATCAAAACTGACACCCTGTGCTCAAGAATCTGTCAGGGAATTCCCAGCACACTGCTGTTTGATGTGGGGTGAACACGAGGAAGACACCCGACCAGTGCCACATGTCGTTGAGTTCTCTGTTCCCAACTCTATTGATTTTGAAAGTAGGATGACAAGATGGAGTCCCTTGGATGGGTCTCTCTAGCCTTCCTGTTCTGCTGTCTCTGCTTCACCTCTAATTTGCAGACTTGGACAGCCAGTGCTGTTTAAAAAGCTTCCGGGCTAAGGTTTTGGATTGGATGCTGTAGTCCTTTGGGTGAAATGATTATTTGTTTAGACTCCCAGACCATTGCTGTTTGGGCTTTCCATTGCTGCTTAAGGAAAGACCACTTTAGGATCATTGCATTACCTCATCTCATTTAGTTGATAAGTACACTGTGTAGAATAACCAGAAATTATTTGTGGCTTTCCTGGATTTGAAAGGTGCATTTGACTCAGTTGACAGGGACCTTCTTTGGATTACATTAGACTGGCTGAATATGGACAAGAGACTTCTTTTGCTCATTAGGAATCTCTACGCTTTCAATACTTGTCAGATCAAACTAGCAGGCAACCTGACACCGAAGATTGCTGCAAACAACGGTGTTAAACAGGGTTGCATTTTAGCTCCCTTTTTATTTAACATCTTCAGCTGTCTGGTGCTGACTGTCATAGTCCAAATCTTGGTGCAACACGTGTTCCTCTACCTCTTTATGCCGATGATACAGTGCTGCTGTCTTGCACCAGAGTCGGTTTAAGACATCTGTTGACCCACTGTATTGCTTTTTTCACCAGTAATAAGCTCCAGCTGAACTATGACAAGTCAAAAATCCTAGTGTTCTCTAAAAAGTGGAGAGCATATAAATGGGCTATCAATGGCAAAGGGATAAATACTTCAAATATCTAAGAATTTACTTTCAGTACGATGTAACCTGGTCTATCCACTGCAAACATGCAGTGAAGGCAAGTAGCACTAGTGCGTCGGCTATAGCACGTTTCTTTTACCACAGAGGCAACTCATTCATGCCGGCTGCAATAAAAATATTTAAGTCCAAAGTGATCTCACAATTACTGTATGGTATTCCAATTTGGATAAGATCCTTTGACTGTGCCATTGTGTATGTCTAATCTAAATTCCTGCGGAAAATTCTGGTTTTGCTGAAATGTGTTTCAAATGCAGTTATATATCTAGAAACAGATCTGTCTTTAACGGAAACTTGTGCATGGCTTATTGTCAGCTACGCCGCCATTGTATGGGGGAGGGGGAAGGGAGTCTGCAGAGTGAACATCTTTTTCTCCTGGAATGTTGGTTTTGCTTTTCTCACTTGGCCTTATCTTGTGGCATGCAAGGCTTGCACCTCTGATTGGGTTAACGCTATCAGCCTCCCCCCCCCCCGCTTAAAATGCAGGATATCTTCCCCTCTTCCGCCTGTTGGGTTAGCCTTTACACAGAATGTATGCACAGATGACCTGCTTCTACTGAACTCAATAAACTTGATCCCGTTGAAGAAGAAGAAGAAGAGAAGAGAAGAGATTGGATTTCTACCCTGCCCTTCACTACCGAAAGGTGTCTCAGAGCGGCTTACAAACTCCTTTCCCTTCCCCTCCCCACAACAGACACCCTGTGAGGTGGGTGGGGCTGAGAGAGCTCTTGACAGAAACTGCCCTTTTTCAAGAACAGCTCCTTATCAGAGCTACGGCTTGCCCAAGGTCATCCAGCCAGGTGCAAACGGAGGAGGAGTGGGGAATCAAACCCGGTTCTCCCAGATTAGAGTCCGCGCACTTAACCACTACACCAAACTGGAACGTTGTTGAGCCTGAGTTTGTGGGACTCTGACAGAGTGTAAAGGCTACTATAGTCCCTAACCCCAATGTCAAAATGAGCAATGAGGAAGACAGGGGTGTTCCAACCACTACGGCAGAAGAGGTCCCTACCACAACGGGAGAGACCCCCCTCACTACCAGTTCCAGTGGGGGGCTGGGTTACAAGAAACCCTGGAGGGACCCATACTCATGGTCTTGTTTCCCAACCGATACCCAAGAGTCGTGGACAGGGGTCATTTCGTAGGAAAAGAGGTGCAGGAACTCATTAGCATGATTCATTAGCACAACTTATTTGCATATGCCACACCCCCTGACATCACCGGAAGTGTGTCAGAAGGCAACACCCACCGCTCAGGCTCCACTGGACTGTTTTGGATTGCTAGCTATTGGGGGGGGGGGACGTGCAGATCTGTCTTCGCGGAGGAGGGAGAACTTGTACCTGAATAAAACTTGGTCAAATAATCCCATTTGTTTGTTTTGCTGCAGACAAGCGGGAAGTGAAGGTGGGAGAATATAATGCTGTAGCCGATACGCTGGAAATCATCAACAACTCCATCAAGTTCCAAGGTAAGGCAGAAGGAGGCACAAGAGAACAGTCTTGAAGATGGCTGCGTAATTGTTAGATCACATGCAAGAAGTAGAAAAGTTTCTCTACCCCTTGTGAAAAACTGGCTCAGAGAATAGCTTGTCGTGAGGAGGAGTAACGGCTTGTACAGACACCACAGGTGGACGTGGCTGCTTCTCCAGGCGCTCCAGTGGTCAGTGCCAGACCGTGGGCAGGAAGGCAGGGCAAGGACAGGTATGAGCCCGGGTGAGTTTCCCGCAAAAACCCTCCTTGGAGTATGTCGTCCACCAGCTCCAGTCTTGCCACTCAGTGGTCTGTTAAAAAACAGACTCATGTCTTTGGTCTTCTTGTCTCATCCCTCCTCTTTCTCATTCAGAGTCCAGAGGGCTGCTGTTCCGTTCGGAATGACATCCTCTCCTGTCAGTTTTCTCATCGTACTGGTGGAACTCCCCGGTCAGTCCTGTATTTTGGGCAGAAAGAGAGGTTTTCGTCACACTCCTCAGAGTTCTGTACAGCAGGTTTTTTAACTTTTAAAACTGCATTCCTGTTAATTTTTACTTCCTGTACTGTGATATGCAAAACAGTGCAGAAATGTGGCCCCCAAATGTACAAAAAATGTTCCCAAAGTACCGAGCTGATCTGGGGGCAAGAAAAACGAAAGCTCCTGACTTGGAGGCTTTCTTCCCTGGGCACCCTTGGGTTTGCCTCACCTCTACCCCAGCCAGTTTTGACTGTCAAGCAAGGACAGAACAGGAGCTGGTGGCTTGTGAAGAAGCCCTGAAGATTCCCCTCTCAATAGCTCCTGCCAGCCCTTCCCACTCCAGGAGGAGCCGATGGCCGACAGACTTACCCTTTCGGCTGCCGGACTCTTTGGCCTGGCCTCGGCTCCTCTCAGTCCTCCATAACCAGCTTCATGATCCTGAGAGCCAACATGGCACAGTGGCTAGAGGTGCTGGGTGAGGATCTAGGAGACTCAGGTCTGAATTCTGACGTGGGAGATAGCCGCTGGACGACCTTGGGCGACGAAGAGCCAGTCTGTTGCAAGCCATACAAGAGAAAAGCGGGGTATAGTTATCTAAATACACAAACATTTCTAACACCCTTGTTCTCATATTAAAAGTCAGTGCCCCTTGCATTGAATTGCTCTAAAATAACCTGTTCTACGCTTTAAATGCTGAAGTGTTTTTGTTGAGAACTGCAAGGTGAGGATCTGTTCTGGGACCTGTTTTGTTCAACATCTTTATCAATAGTTGCTGTAGATTTTCCGGGCTGTCTGGCCATGGTCTTGGCATTGTAGGACCTGACGTTTTGCCAGCAGCTGTGACTGGCATCCTCAGAGGTATAAACACAGAAAGATAGGAGGACTCTCTGTGTCAAGGTGAGAAGAAAAATGGTAGGCAGGTCATTGATATCTACTCAGGAAGGTGGGGCAGGGCTGAGTCATTATCTTGTAGGAGTTTC